AAAAAAATACTTTTTTTTCTCCAATAAAAATGTATTAAAGGTTTTACACTTAGCAGAAAACATTTAGCAGATGGCAATAACCTGTAATGTCATAAACCAGTATACAGTGTACTTAATTTGGCAATGAGTTTGCTCACCATGTTACACATATAATAAAAACATAAAAAGAAAACATAATGCATAATGAGTTATACACAGTTCACCTAGGGAATTGTTCACCCGACTCCTTTGATTTCTCATCCATAACTGGAAATCTGGCCAGTGCAGCAAAAATTGACCAAAATCTGGGCCAAGTATGGCCAGCTTAAATGTCCCTTTTAAATAGTTTGTCTACGCCTAGCTGGCCCAAACAAACTATTTAATGTTCTAACAAGTTCTCTCTATTAACTGTTTGTAGCCTCAGCTGCATACAGTATACAGCGCTGTGTTCTAACAGTGAGACCGGGACTTCCCATCTCACTTCTGGAACAAAATAGAGTCAGAATGAGCACCGCTCAGCCATTCTTGGGAAGCTATGCATTCTATGCATCAATAAAATGCTTCTCTGATTGGCTGAGATGGAGATTGTGATGTCATCTGCCAGCCTCTGCCCCAGCCAATTAGAGACAGCTTTGTTGTTATTATTAGAATACAAAGCTTCCCGTGAATGGCTAAGCAGTGCAAAGCCCAACTCTGTTTTTATTTTCAGGAGTGAGACAGGAATAGTTTGTTTGGGCCAGCTTGGTGAGGTGCCATAGTTCTACTATAAAGGGTATATGAGTTTATAGTGAATAGATTTACATCTGCTTTAAAGCCTATGTTTTATAAAATGTTTGTGTGTTTTAGAAAACTCAGTAAGAGGGGACTGAGGAGTAAACTATGTAGCACTCTATAATGCAAAACCACACTGCACTACAGAAAAAAAAAAATTTTAAAAGAAGAAAATAAAATAAATTTATATATGTAAATGTTCACTGCTTCTACGTTAATACTGAATCAAAAAAATCAAAAAAATTACCAACACATAAATTCAGGAATTAACCACTTGCCGTCCGCCTGCTGTTTTTAAACGGCAGGGCGGTGGCACTCCAGGGGCAGGTTGCCGTTCATAAACGGCACCCGCTATTTCTAGTTGTGCGCGCTCCCTGGGAGCGCGCAGCACACGCGATCCAGTGCCCGCTGTGTCCTCCTGACACAGTGAAACACCAATCGTCAGACGGGACCTCTGTACGAGGTCCCGATCATGTGATCACTGATTGGCCAATCAGTGATCACATGCAAAGTAGTAAGCAAGATGTCACTTGTGACATCATTGCTTACTACATGTGAAATCTGTGAATGATCACAGAGGTTACATGGTACAAGGCAATTCACAACAGCCTTGTATTATGTGACAAGCTCTGACCAATCACAGCTCACACAGTATTTCTCAATGGCTGCAAGAATGCAGACAGAGAGAAAGAGAAATGATTGCTTTTACATCCTATATGGGTGTAAAAGCAATCAGTGTAAAAAAAAAAATCTTCATCACCCCCCACAAGTAGTACAGTGTCACCATGGTGACACTGTACTGCTAGGGTGACGGTATGTAAAAAAAAAAAACATAAATAATAATATAAAAAATAAAATAAAAATGTTTAAAAATGATAATTTTTGGTTATAAACTAATTTGGCGTATTTTTTTTTTTACTAAAAAGATAACAGAATAAATTTTGGCCAAGATTTATGATGAAATATTATTTATTTGCAAAATTTTATAAGAAAAACACTTTTTTCTAAATTTTGGGACTTTTTCATTTATATAGCAAAAAAAATAAAAATCCCAGCGGTGAATAAATACCATCAAAATAAAGCTTTATCTGTCTCAAAAAAATGGTAAAAAATTCATATGGGTACAGTGTTGCATGACCGCGCAATTGTCATTCAAAGTGTGATAGCGCTGAAAGCTGAATATTGCCCTGGACAGGAAGGGGGTAAAAGTGTCCGGACTGGAAGTGGTTAAAGGTAATCCACCTAGAAGTGCACTTCTACCTCAGTAGCACTGGGAATAAACAACCTCAAATAACACAAAATAGTGCAAATAAAATGAAGTGCAAAAAAAGGTCCAAAAGTGTCCATGAAATTGCTGCATATAAGGTGCTGTATTTCTTCCTGGAGCATCCACCACACACCACCTCTGCTTTTGCAGTCCCTCTCCCTTTAGGGAAAAAGTCATCAGATGAATATGCCAACCATTCTCATGACTGGCGTAGCTCACTCCACCATAACTATCATGCGTCATATCATTAGAACACTTCTCCCACCGGCTCAATGATATTCAAATCAAAGATGGAAAAGAAAAGAATAGCCTCCAATGGTGTAGTAACCAAATCAATCAAAATGTATTATTAAAAACCTACTTACAAAATTAAAAGCTAAAATCCGCTCATCTCATAAAGTGGTATCACAATAAGGTGTGCTTATTAAAATAATAAATATGTGCCACGCTCCACTATATCAATAAAACATTATAAATGTAATCATTAAATCAAAATATTCTATGACTCATGTGTCTAAAAAATCAATCTGATAATTGTAATATTAAATAAAAATATATTTTTTTGTGAATTGTGGACATTTTTTTGATAATTTTACACTATAATTATTTTTCACTTGATAGTAATGATATATTTTTTTTATTTAATATTACAATTATCAGATTGATTTTTTAGACACATGAGTCATAGAATATTTTGATTTAATTATTAGGTTTATAATGTTTATTGATATAGTGGAGCGCGGCACATACAGGTGAAACTCGAAAAATTTGAATATTGTGCAAAAGTTCATTTATTTCAGTAATGCAACTTAAAAGGTGAAACTAATATATGAGATAGACTCATTACATGCAAAGCAAGATAGTTCAAACCGTGATTTGTCATAATTGTGATGATTATGGCTTACAGCTCATGAAAACCCAAATCCATAATCTCAGAAAATTAGAATATTACACGCAATCAATAAAACAAGGATTGTACATAGAACAATATCGGACCTCTGAAAAGTATAAGCATGCATATGTACTCAGTACTTGGTTTAGGCCCCTTTTGCAGCAATTACTGCCTCAATGCGGCGTGGCATGGAAGCTATCAGCCTGTGGCACTGCTGAGGTGTTATGGAAGACCAGGATGCTTCAATAGCGGCCTTCAGCTCTTCTGCATTGTTCGGTCTCCTGTCTCTCATCTTTCTCTTGGCAATGCCCCATAGATTCTTTATGGGGTTCAGGTCAGGCGAGTTTGCTGGCCAATCAAGCACAGTAATCCCACAGTCATTGAACCAGGTTTTGGTGCTTTTGGCAGTGTGGGCAGGTGCCAAGTCCTGCTGGAAAATGAAGTCAGCATCCCCATAAAGCTCGTCTGCAGAAGGAAGCATGAAGTGCTCCAAAATCTCCTGGTAGACGGCTGCATTGACCCTGGACTTAATGAAGCACAGTAGACCAACACCAGCAGATGACATGGCTCCCCAAATCAACACAGACTGTGGAAACTTCACACTGGACTTCAAGCATCTTGCAGTGTGTGCCTCTCCATTCTTCCTCCATACTCTGGGTCCTTGGTTTCCAAATGAGATGCAAAAGTTGCTCTCATCAGAAAAGAGGTTTTGGCCCACTGAGCAACATACCAGGTCTGTTTTTCTTTATCCCAGGTAAGACGCTTCTGACATTGTTTGTTGTTCAGGAACGGCTTGCAAGAGGAATACGACATTTGAAGCCCATGTCCAGGATCCGTCTGTGTGTGGTGGCTCTTGATGCACTGACTCCAGCCTCAGTCCACTACTTGTGAAAGTCCCCAACACTTTTGAATGGCCGTTTCCTGACAATCCTCTCCAGGCTGCAGTCATCCCTGCTGCTTGTGCACCTTTTTCTTCCACACTTTTCCTTTCAACATAACTTTCTATTAATGTGCTTTAATACAGCACTTTGGGAACATCCAACTTCTTTTGCAATTACCTTTTGAGGCTTTCCCTCCTTATGGAGGGTGTCAATGATGGTTTTCTGCACAACTGTCAGGTCAGCAGTCTTTCCCATGATTGTGATTCCTACTGAACCAGACTGAGAGACCATTTAAAGGCTCAGGAACCCTTTGCAGGTGTTATGTCTTAATTAGCTGATTAGAGTGGGACACTTTTGAGCCGAGAATATTGCACCTTTTCACAATATTCTCATTTTCTGAGATTGTGGATTTGGGGTTTTCATGAGCTGTAAGCCATAATCATCACAATGATGACAAATCACGGCTTGAACTATCTTGCTTTGCATGTAATGAGTCTATCTCGTATATTAGTTTCACCTTTTAAGTTGCATTACTGAAATAAATGAACTTTTGCATGATATTCAAATTTTTCGAGTTTCACCTGTATTTATTATTTTAAATCAGTTATATGCACTATTATATGAGTAAGTGTTTGGTGTCAGTGAACCACATGTGTATCAATTTAATTTACTTGATTAATTATTGAGGCACTTTTTTATTCACCATAATAACCCGCAAGCACATTTTACACAAGGTGTGCCTATTAGCTTAGTGTTCTCACCACCCTTGGAACTAACGGGCACAGGCACCACATCACTTCCGGTCCCGGGATAGACGCCACTTCCAGTCGCTGCGTAACCACCCTCTGACGCGTTTCGTCACAGGGGCATTAAAGCACACTAAAGTCAAACAATGCATCAGCATCCATTTCAGTGTGAGGAAAAGGCAAAGACAATGACCAGTGAAATTAGACCTTATAGAGACCATACATCCAGGCTGAATAGCATCACGGGGAAAACACTGAGGTCACATGATCAGATCTGACCAGTAATGTGTTATGTGAATGTCATACTTTTTATTTTATGCAGATGAAAGCTTGCCAGATGAAAATCTTCAGATCCAGAATGGGAAGATAATGAAGTCACATCTGACTCTTCAGATGAACGCTCCGTTACTCCAGATCCATCGCCTCGTCATGCAGCTGCCCGCCGTAAACGTGGCAGGCCACGGCGTACCCAGGTCGACGACCCTACAGCTCAGAACGGAGAATTCCAGTGCTACGATTGCATAAAATCTTTTTCGAAGATCGAAGAGCTTCTTTCACATCAGAGAACTCACACAGGGAAGCAGCACTCGTGCCAGGAGTGCGGGAAAAGTTTTATACGAAAGCCGTCACTCATTAGACATCAAAAAACTCACGCGGGGGAGGAGCCGTTTTCATGTTCGGAGTGCGACAAATGCTTTATCCTTAAAACCAATCTCCTTTCACACATGAGAACTCATGCTAGTGAGAAGCCTTTTATTATATATATATATTTGAAATGTGGAGGTTGATTTTCAAGATGAACTACAGGGAAGCTTAGTGTACAGATAAGTACATATATGGGAGCTGCTTTACCTGCAATGCGATTTTTACTTCTGTCTACCTAGTCCTGGGTTTTATACAAAACTTGGCAAGGAAGAAATTCTTTTTCTCTTCTGTAGTTAGATAATGCTTACAGGTCTTGTCCCCCCCCCTCCCCCAGCCTGTGAAGGGGAAGTGAAATGAGAAGCAGCAGACTGCTGAGCTAATCTTTCCGCCATTCTGCTCTCTCCTAATAACAGCGTGTCCCTTGTTTGAATATGAGCAACACAGCACAACTGAGTGGTTTCTTGTGCTGCTTCTCTCTTTCTCATTCTGAGCCCTGTTGTACAGGGATTGCAAAAGGCTGATACCAGGAAAAACTGATACTTACTTTGCTTGCATTTAAAAAAGTAGGATTCTTTTCTTGGAGTCCTTTCAGGGACACAGGAAGTCTTTTAAAGAGAAGTATGGGGTTAGTAAAAAAAAAGCAAACATTTACACTCACCTAGTCGGCAGTATAACCCAAAGTTTAAACACTTCCTATGTCCCTCGATAGACGAGAAAAAAAGTACTTTCAATGATGTACGAATTTATACAGAGCTGTATTTGTGTCTTACACGTGCCTGGAGTTCATCTTTAACCACCTCCCGTCCTGGCCCATGTATATAAACGGCCAGACGGTGGTAGTCCAGGGGCGGGTTGCCGTTCATAAACGACGCCCGCATTTTCAGGCTGTGCCCACTCCCTGGGACACAGTGGAACACCGATCGTCGTCCGGGACCTCTCTGTGAGGTCCTGATCATGTGATCACTGATTGGCCAATCAGTGATCACATGCAAAGTAGTAAGCAAGATGTCACTTCTGACATCAGTGCTTAATACGTGTGAAATCTGTGAATGATCACAGAGGTCACATGGTACAGGGTTATTCACAACAGCCTTGTACCATGTGACAAGCTGTGACCAATCACAGCTCACACAGCATTTCTCAATGGCTGCAAGATTGCAGCCAGAGAGAAGGAGAAATTATTGCTTTTACAGCCTTTATGGGTGTAAAAGCAATCAGTGTAAACTGCTAAGGTGACAGTATATAAAAAAATAAATAAATAATAAAAAAAATAAAAATGTAAAAAAAATGTTTTCAAAAATTATAATTTTTGGTTATAAACTAATTTGGGTTTTTTTTTTTTTTAAAAAACGATAACTGAATAAATTTTGGCCAAATTTTGACCGCGCAATTGTCATTCAAAGTGTGATAGTGCTGAAAGCTGAAAATTGGCCTGGACAGGAAGGGGGTAAAAATGTCCGGACTGGAAGTGGTTAAGCCCTGGTTCACACTGTCACATCGCACTGCATTCCTGTTCAAATCACATGAGATTATGCGCAGTGCGTTTTGAGCCCATTCATTTCGTGTGACTCATATTGCACTGCATCCGCATGAAAAAGCGGCACACACCCTTTTTTTTTTGCTGCACTGGAATCAAATGGCATGGATGTGAATGTCCATGTGATTCGATCCAGGTGATCACGCTGTGTTTTTGCGACCTGTTTTTGGGTGTCGTTAACATCGACACCCGCAGCAGACTGCATGAACATAGGGCGATTGTGATGCGGTGCGGGAAACGCACAGGATTTGCTGCGAATCCTGCCCTGCATCAGGGTGAACCTAGACGTTAAGAAGTACTCTATGTTTCCTCTCTAAAGGCCAACCTGATGAGAGCAGATTCTTGCCATCCCAGGGCTGCTGTAATACAATATATTTGCTACATACAATAAGTGCTGTTGTCTTTCCTGGAAGTGTAAGACCAACTTCTTTTTGTCCAGAAACAGAGCAAAACACTTGCATGACACCTCTGCCGTTCAGGAACAGCCTTGCATTTTTTTTTCAATAAATACAAGGCCTGTGATTGTCAGTGCCGCCTATCAGTGCCATATATGAGTGCTGCCTTTCAGTCAGTGATGCCTGTCAATGCCCATCAGTGCCTCCAGTGCTCTGAAAGCTAGAAATTGGCCTGGGCAGGAAGGAGGTATAAGTGCTCGGTAGGCGAGGGGTTAAGTGAAGCAAATGCTACTATAGTGTAGGACAGCAGCTCGAGCGGTCCTCTTGCTCTGGCATGGTAAGAATTTGTTTTAACCAAGCGGATCCGTAAGAAGTATTTCCACAATGCCTATCAGTGTCACCTTTCTCCGTCTTATGAAAGAACATATTGCACTCTTGTGAGTTTACTAGCCACAGGCAAGGCATACTGGTACATGTAGTCCAAGGTCTCAAACAACAGCCTTGGGGAGGAGAGCCTGCATGTGGCCTCCACTACTAGAACGTGAATGCAGCCACTTTAGCGGTGATAGCAAATACCTAGTGTAATATTTAAATAGAGAGTTGATATCATATACTTGGCTTTTAGTTTCTCCAAAAGCACTTTTCGCTTTCTTTTCTTTAAAACAAAAACATTTTTAAAATCATTTAGATTCTAAAGGTCTCAAAGTGGAACAGGATGGGGGGGAAATTAGGAGTCATCAGCTTCTATTAGACCCTGGCTCTTCCATCATGTCATTGTGTGTTACCAGCCAAGGGACGTGACCAGTCTCCCCCCACACACACTCTCTGGGGTCTCTCATACATCTCAGTACAGAGGGCTTCACTCTCATCTGTATTTACAGAACCTGGAGACACTAATTCCACTTGGGGAAGCGTCCGAGCCGCGATGAGGGCAAAAAGAGAAATGCGGAAAAATAAGAAGAAAATGCCTCCAGAGATCAGTACAGGTGAGTGATAAACACTAAATCCAGAGAAGAGTCCCAGATCCTCCTTGTTCAGTCACTACAACAATCTCTTCTTCTCCCCCCTCCTCTGTCAGTAGACAGTAATGGGGGGACAGTATGTGCCCAGTGGGGGAGTCAGGGGCCATCAGCCTCTAGTAGACACCAGGTATGAGCCATGTAAGGAGGAGGAGATCCCTTCAGAGATCAGCACAGGTGAGTGATAAACACTAAATCCAGAGAAGAGTCCCAGATCCTCCTTGTTCAGTCACTACAACAATCTCTTCTTCTCCCCCCTCCTCTGTCAGTAGACAGTAATGGGGGGACAGTATGTGCCCAGTGAGGGGTCAGGAGCCATCAACCTCTATTAGACTCCGGCTATGAGCCATGTAAGGAGGAGAAGATCCCTCTAGAGATCAGCCCAGGTGAGTAATGGACACTAAATCCAGAGAAGAGTCCCAGATCCTCCTTGTTCACTCACTACAACAATCTCTTCTTCCCCCCTCCTCTATCAGTAGACAGTAATTGGGAGACAGTTGGGTGATTTACTAAAACTGGCGTGTGCAAAATCTGGTGCAGCTCTACAAAGAAACCAATCAGCTTCCAAGTTTTATTGTCAAAGCTTAATGGAACAAGCTGAAGTCAGAATCTGATTGGCTACCAGGCACAGCTGCACCAGATTCTGAGTGCTCCAGTTTTAGTAAATCTCCCCCAGTGGGGAGTCAGGAGCCATCAGCCTCTATTAGACTCCGGATCTCCTCACATCATGTCATTGAGACGTGACCAGTCTCCTCCCACACATACTTTCTGTGGTCTCTCATACATCTCAGTACAGGGGGCTTCACTCTCATCTTTATTCACAGACCCCGGAGCAAATCAGAGAAGCGTCCAAACTGAGAAGAAGTTCAAAAAACGACAAAATAAAGAAAAGAAAATTCCTCCAGAGATCATCACAGGTGAGTAAAAAAACTCTTAAGAGCCGCTTCACACAGAATGTGATTCGGGAAACCCACCTTCCATGCGTGTTTCCATCACTGCATACAAAACGCACTGCCTGTGCGATCTGCTGCAGAGTTCAATACAATGCTAACGACACCCCAAACACAGATTGCAAATGCAATGTGTTTGCCTGCACCAGATTGCATGGTACCCACAGAACCATGCGATCAGGCTTAGTTCATTCTTAAAAGTGGTGCATGCACTACTTTTTGTGCAATACCGTGCAATTTCAGCCCTGAATGGGCTGAAAACGCACTGCACTCAAATTCCACTGGAATGCAAACCATGTTCCTGCGCATTCCTAGTGTGAACCAGCCCTAAATCCAAAAAATAATCCCAAATTCTTCTTGTTACATAGTTAGTCTGGCTGAAAAAAGACAAAAGTTCAACCATTAAAGAAAAAAATTTTTTTTTATAATCCTACACCCACAGTTGATCCAGAGGAAGGCAAAAAAAAACTTCAAAGCATGATCCAATTTGTTCTTGTGGGGAAAAAAATTCCTTCCTGATCCCCCGAGGGGCAATCGGATATTCCCTGGATCAACTTTACCTATAAATGTTATATCCAGTTATATTCTGTGTATCCAAGAAAGAATCCAGGACTTTCCTACAGCAATCCACTGAGCTGGCCAGAACCAACTCTTGAGGGAGTCTATTCCACATTGTCACAGCTCTTACTGTGAAGAAACCTTTCCGTGTTTGGAGATTAAATTTATTTTCCTCCGGATGTAAAGAGTGCCCCCTTGTCCTCTGTGGTGACCTCAGGGTGAATAACTCTACACCGAGTTCACTATATGAACCACTGATGTATTTATACATGGAGATCATATCCCCCTTATGTATTATACATGGAGATCATATCCCCCCCTTATGTATTATACATGGAGATCATATCCCCCCTTATGTATTATACATGATGATCATATCCTCCCCATTATGTATTATACATGGAGATCATATCCCCCCTTATGTATGGAGATATTCCCCCCCTTATATACATGGAGATCATATCCCCCCTTATGTATTATACATGGAGATCATATCCTCCCCATTATGTATTATACATGGAGATCATATCCCCCCTTATGTATTATACATGGTGATCATATCCCCCCTTATGTATTATACATGGAGATCATATCCCTTATGTATTATTATACATGGTGATCATATCCCCCCTTATGTCATATCCCCCCTTATGTATTATACATGGTGATCATATCCCCCCTTATGTATTATACATGGAGATCATATCCCCCTTATGTATTATACATGGAGATCATATCCCCCCCTTATGTATTATACATGGAGATCATTATACACATGGAGATCATATCCCCCCTTATGTATTATACATGGAGATCATATCCCCCCTTATGTATTATACATGGAGATCATATCCCCCTTATGTATGTATGTACATGGAGATCATATCCCCCCTTATTATGTATATCCCCCCCTTATGTACATGGAGATCATATCCCCCTTATGTATTATACATGGTGATCATATCCCCCCCTTATGTATTATACATGGAGATCATATCCCCCTTAATCTCCTCTTCTCAAGAGAGAATAATTCAGTTCCTCTAATCTTTCCTCATAGCTGATCTCCTCCATGCCTCTTATCAGTTTGGTTGCCCTTCTCTGTACTTTCTCCAGTTCCCCAATGTTCTTTTTGGGAATTGGAGCCCAAAACTGAACTGAATATTCCAGATGAGGTCTTACTAATGATTTGTATCGGGGGGATGATATCTCTCTCTCTGGAGTCTATACCTCTCCTAATACAAGAGAAAGAAACCGCAGCTTGGCATTGCATGTCATAATTAAGCTCTCAGTTCAGTCACTACAAAAATCTCTCCCCCCTTTCACTCCACCTTTCACTATTAAATTCCCCCTCTTGAGCTGCAGTCAGTGACTGCAGACTGCTGTGGGCAGGAAGTCACATATCCACAGTCTCCATTCTTCCATTGATCACTCAGACTGTACATTGTAACTTTGTAGCAGAGCAAGGGATTGCGGCAGGGGCTAAAATTTGGCTATATTGGTGACAAGTGTAACACGAGTATCTCCAACCTTTTTAATTTCCTTTCACTTCTTATTTTATGCAGACGCAGAAATGCATCCTGTTGCATCCTCATCAAAAGGAATCAAAGGTGATAACAAAGCATCCAGTTCTTCAGAAGGAAATGCTATTTCCCCAAATCTGCATCCGGCACCTCACTGTGCTGATTCATCATCTGGTCGCTCTAAAATCAATGATCATTCTCAAGCTGTTACTCAGAATTCAGCTTCGAGCAATGGTGCAATGCTCTCATGTTGCGGGAAAAGCTTCAGTAGCATAAAGGAACTTCTCTCCCACCAGAGAACCCACAGAAAGAAAAAGTCCTTCACTTGCTCTGAATGCGGGAAAATCTTCGCTTTTGAGACATTTCTCAAAGAGCACCTGAGATTTCACACTGGGGAGAAGCCGTTTTGCTGTACCGAATGTGGGAAAAGTTATCACTGTAAGTCGGGTGTCATCGTACACATGAGAGTTCACACGGGGGAGAAGCCATACGCCTGCTTGGAATGCGGGAGGCGTTTTTCCTTGGGAATATTACTTCGTATGCATGAGCGGATTCACACTGGGGAGAAGCCATTTCCCTGCTCAGAGTGTGGGAGGCACTTTAGGCGGAAATCTGTGCTTGCAGTCCACCAGAGAATTCATACAGGGGAAATGCCATATTCCTGCTCGGAGTGCGGGAAACGTTTTGCGCAGCAGCCGGCTCTTATTGCACATCGCAGAGTTCACACGGGAGAGAGGCCCTATGTGTGTCAGGACTGCGGGAAGGCTTTTGCTATGAAAAGTCAGCTCAATCTACACAAAAAAAAAATCAAAGCTTGCAAGAAGTAATGTGCAGAGGAAATATGGCGACACTATATAAACAAATCAGCATACACATCAGATGGGTCACATGGAAGGCACCATATTCATTTGTGTACGGAATGATGGCAAGACTTTTCCAGATGACTTTGAACTCACGCGTGATTTTTTCTCTGTCGCATAGTTCTATGTTGCTGTATGTTATGATTTGGATTGGAAATGCCTTAAAACGGGGGTCAGCAACCTGTAGATCCCAATCTACGAGTAGATCGCAGCCATTGGTAAAGATGTGTTTTTTCCACCCCTGTCCCAACGGCACCCCCTTAATGGCAAAAATGTCACAGCAACAGCAGGAGTGATACAGCCTGTCATGGTTGGCGGGTGTAACACCGGCTAAGCATGAACCATTCAAGTGAATGAGGCCTCCTCACCACTTAATTTAAATCCATGATTGGCATGCAATGCATGCAATTGCCAGACGGTAGTACGGGAATTAAAGTGATACTAAAGTTTTTTTTTTTTATAATAAAAAAAAAAACATGTCATTCCTGCTCTGTGTAATGGTTTTGCACAGAGCATCCCTGATCCTCCTCTTCTCAGGTCCCCTGCTGGCACTCCTATCAGGTGCCCCCACAGCAAGCAACTTGTTATGGGGGCACCTGAGCAGGCGCGTTACCGAGCCACGGCTATGTGGGTCCATTTCAACAAAGTTGTGGCTCGGCCCCACCCCCTCCCTCTCCTTTTTGGCTCACTGGCTGTGATTGACAGCAGCGGGAACAAATGGGGTCCCACTGCTGCCTCAGCCAATCAGGAGTGAGAGTTCCCGCAGAACCAGAATCTTATGGACATCGGTGGATCGGGATGGGGATCAGGCGTTAGGGGGGTCTGCTACACACAGAAGGTTTTTTACCTTCATGCTTAGAATGCATGAAGGCAAAAAAAAAACCTTGAGCCTTTAGAACCACTTTAAGCCCCACCCCCTCCCTCTCCTTTTTGGCTCACTGGCTGTGATTGACAGCAGCAGGAAGCAATGGCTCCCACTGCTGCCTCAGCCAATCAGGAGTGAGAGTTCCTGCAGAACCGAGAATCTTATGGACATCGCTGGATCGGGATGGGGATCAGGTGTTAGGGGGTCTGCTACACACAGAAGGTTTTTTTACCTTCATGCTTAGAATGCATGAAGGCAAAAAAAAAACTTGAGCCTTTAGAACCACTTTAAGCCCTGGTTCACACTGATGCGGAATTTGCCACGTTTCAGTGCGAATTCTGCACCGCATCAGAATCGCAATCGCCCCGTTCATACGAACCGATGCGGGTGTGTATGTTAACTACACCCCGACATCGGTCTGCAAAACGCAGTGCGATGTGCAGAATCGGATCACATAGGTTTGAATACCTATGTGATCCGATTCTAGTGTGGACCAAAAAAGGGTCCTGCGCTTTTTTGGTGTGGGTACGGTGCGAATAAAGCCATACAAAATGTATGGATCCAATCGCACCGCACACAAATTGCATGTGATTTCTACAGGAATGCGGTGCGGTTTCTGTGCAAATCACATGCGATTTACCGCACAAGCTGTAGTGTGAACCTAGGCTGAAGGGTTAAATCAGGTGTGAGGAGGTGACACGGTGCCCGGTGACCTTCGACTTCTTCCATGTTTTTCAGATCTCCCCCTCTTTAAGGTTGCCTACCCCTGCCTTAAAATATAATTTTCTGTTAATGGAAATACACTCTGTGCCCTCCCACTCCATTGCTTTATGTGTACATAGATGAGTAAAGGCCAAACCCCTTAGTACATATGTCCTCATGTCGGCCTGTAGTGTGGAGGAAGAATAGGGAGGTGTCTGACCAGCTCTGCAAGATTACAGCATGAACTGGCTAGTGTGGTCAGACAGGTGCCTATCGGACCGCATAGTCATCTTTGGATACTGTGCAGTTGCTACAACATGAAAATGGAGGTAGGAATATTTTTCGGCCTGAATAAAATATGTTGGGCTTCTACTACTTCTAAAGAAGGGGAGAAGCCATATTTGTTCTGAATACTGGACTGTTTTTTTTTTTCTAGGGTCGTAGTACGTTTTTATGCCTTGTGTAATGCGTGGTGAAATGCAGGCTTGGTGGCTTTTAAACCACGGTGCTGTTCATTTTGAATGCCACCTCAAAGCACACAGTGCACCAACAATACTACGGACATGTTGATGAGTGGAATTCAAAAAAAAAGTCCAGCGCAATTTTCAGGTCCTTGTCCTAAGTTGGCATCCCAATTATACTAATCTTGGAATGCCACTTAAAGCCAGGGATTCCATTCTCCTGATCCGCAGGTAAGGAGGCATCCATGTTGCCCATCCAGTACGATGTACACTCACCGTCCACTTTATTGGGTCCACCTGTTCAATTACTTGGTAATACTAATCAGCCAATCACATGGCAGCAACTCAATGCATGTGGGCATCTAGATGAGGTGAAGATGACTTGCTGAAGTTCAAACCGAGCATCAGAAAAGGGGATTTAACATAAGTGATTTTGAACATGGCGTGGTTGTTGGTGGCAGACAGGCTGGTCTGAGCATTTTAAAAACTGCTGATCTACTGGGATTTTCACTCACAACCATCTCTAGGAGAATGGTCCGAAAAAGAGAAAATATCCAGTGAGTGGCAGTTCTGCGGACCAAAATTCCTTATTGATGTCAGAGGAGAATGGGCAGACTGTTTCAAGGTGATAGAAAGGCAACAGTAACTCAAATAACCACTCTTTACAACCAAGGTATGCAGAATACCATCTCTGAATGCACACAACATGTCCAACCTTGAACCAGATGGCTACAGCAGCAGAAGACTACCCTGGGTGCCACTCCTGTCCACCAAGAACAGGAAACGGAGGCTGGAGTTCGCACAGGCTCACCAAAATTGGATAATAGAAGATCGGAAAAAAAGAATTTGGTATAAAACAACTTGAAAGCATGGATCCATCCTGCCTTCTATCACCAGTCCATGGATGTGCAGCCAACAGATCTGCAGCAACTGTGTGATGCTATCAAATCAAAATCTGAGGAATGTTTCCAACACCTTATTGAATCTATGCCACGAAGAATTAAGGCAGACCTTAGTCTTCTACAGAGTTTAGCTATTAGTACTTTTATACAGAATTTAACAAGACAATTTACCAACGTTGAAACCATGTGGGTTCCCTTGCAGGATTTGCTGTACTATATGGCCAAAAGTCTCCTGTGATGGACACCCGATCTTTACACCTTGTTGGCCAACTCAATAATAACCATTAATATGGGATTGGCTCCTCTTTGTGGCTATAACAGCCTCCATTCTTCTGGGAACATTTCCACAAGACTTTGGAGGGTGTCTCTGGGAGTTTGTGGCCATTTGCCCAAAAGAACATTTTGTGAGATCAGGTGGTAATGTATGAGAAGACCTGGCTCGCAGTCCACTTTCCATTTCATCCCAAAGGTGTTCAGTAAGGTTAAGGTTTGGGCTCTGTACAGGTCTCTCTAGTTCCTCCAAACCAAACCAATCAAACCATGTCTTTATAGGCACAGTCATGCTGGAACAGAAAAGAGCCTTCTTTACACTTGTCGCAAAGTTGTAAGTGCTCAAATGTCTTTCTATGCAGTAACATTAACAGTACCTTTCAATGGAAACATCTAAACTCAATCATTTGGAGAGGTGTTAACAGTTTTGGCCATATACTGTATTATAAGCAGATCTTACAGAGACCTGGTGTCACATTGCAGAGTTGGAAATCCCTACATTGGGCAAACTTGATGAAAAAAAGATGGTGAATTAACTGTGAAAACACTAAACATTAAAAATATGCCTCATGTATCCTATATATTTTCCAGTATTGATATAATAGTTATATAATTTTAATAATAATCATTTAAACTTTGTGTGACTATAATTTGTATTGTTACAGTATATTTTTGTTGGATTTATTTTATTACAAAAGGACAATCTATATTTTATAAAACAACTGTAATGTCTGAGGTCAAATACATTTCTACAGACACTTAAAATGTGTTGTTATTTCTTGTTGAACAGATCATTTTTGACATAGTTACGACATCCATCATTTTGAGAAAACCTGAATTTTAATTAATGGGAACCTTGCAATCACTTGAATGTTGGGCATTACATTTTCTTAGTTCTTGTTAGAGTAAGATAGTTGTTTGTTGTGGCCTCTTGTCTCTTTCACTTACTTGTCCTAGACACCTTCCTACGCATATACAGTCAGGTCCATAAATATTGGGACATGGACACAATTCTAACATTTTGGGCTCTATACACCACCACAATAGATCTCTCTGATGGGTTTGTTTTGTTTTTTTCAGCCTAATCATGGCTTGCTTCACTGATAGTGACAGCTCTTTGGATCTCATCTTGAGAGTTGACAGTAACAGATTCCAAATGCAAATAGCACACTTGAAATGAACTCTGGACCTTTTATCTGCTCATTGTAATTGAGATAATGAGGAAATAACACACACCTGGCTATGGAACAGCTGAGAAGCCAATTGTCCCATTACTTTTGGTCCCTTAAGAAGTGGGAGGCACATATGCAAACTGTTGTAATTCCTACACCGTTCACACTGATTTGGATGTAAATACCCTCAAATTAAAGCTGACAGTCTGCAGTTAAAGCACATCTTGTTCGTTTCATTTCAAATCCATTGTGGTGGTGCATAGAGCCAAAAATGTTAGAATTGTGTCCATGTCCCAATATTTATGGACCTGACTGTACTTACCCTTTAGTGTCACTCCCACACCACTTAGATCTCCACCCTCCACCCTATCTCTATGCAGTCACCTGTATTTTCCAAAAATGTAATTTCTAGAGCCTATAGAACACAGGTTTTTATTAGTTAAGACCGTGGGTTATTTTCTGCCACCTTCAGGTGTGGACACTGGCAAACAAAGCTGTTAGGACAGTCCTTATAACTCCTTCCACTCCCAGCAATCCTCAGTTTTATGCCAGTGTCCTTAGGTGATGGCTGACCTTTCTCTACTGAGAACAGGTTTCTGACTTTTTTTCTGATTTTTACATGGAAAATTGGGAAGACCACATGCTGTTCTTCACACGAAGAACTCCTTTCTCCACCTAGCTGCATCTACAGCCAGTGCAGCTAATTTTGACAGCACTTCGAGGAACCGTATCTGGACCCCTTCACATAGAAACACAGGGCTGGCCTGTAACGTTTTCTCTGACACTGTACTCTATCCTTTGGTAGAACAGTACAATGTAGGTGTTGTTAGCCGCATGGTGTTGTAAAGGTCCAGGGCAGTGACAATCCACACTGGTGTAACCCAGTCCCTGAAGACCTCTTCCATGGAGAAGGGTGCATACCCTCCAAAGCTGGCAAAGCAGAAAGTAACCATCTTCTTGCAAGTCCAAAAGTTTCAGAAGGAATTGGCATGCTATGTAATTGCATCACTGCAACAAGAAGAATTTCTAGCATTAATAGACATCAAGGATTTGTATTTACATATTCCCATTTTTTACCTGCATCAGCAGTTCCGAGATTCATAGTGAGTGATCAGCGCTTTCAGTTTGTAACACTTCCCTTTTGGCCTGTCCACACCCCCCTTGATCCTTGCGCTATTGCATTCTCACAGAATAAACATTATTGTATGTCTAGACATTCATGAAGGACCTCTTCCCCCCCAGCTCTCATGGTCAATATCCAGAGAATGGTACAGATGCTTCAGATCCTCAGTCTATAGATGTCTGCATTGAATCTGACCAACTATCTGGGCCCAGTCTTGGACGTCTCCCAGGCCAGGGTGTTTTTTTTTTTTCTGGGAACAGGGTGTTGACCCTTTGTGTTTAAGTCCAGACCCTCTGCTTCAAGAAGCTTCTTTCACTTTGCATGAGAGCACTGGGACTCGTGGTTGCTTCCTCCAAGGCAGTGATTTTTGCCCAGTTTCATTCAAGGTCAGCACCAAGACCAGGCTATCACTGCCCAGCCCTGCACTGGATTCAAGAAAGTTCCTTTGCTCGTTACCTTGGTCGGATCTTACAAAGGATGCTAGCCTGTCTGGCTGGGGAGGGGTCCTAGGGACAAAAACAGTCCAAGAGATGATGTCATAGAAGCAGTCCAGACATCCTATCAAAATTCTCAAGCTAAGGGCCATTTGTCTGTCTCTGAAGCAGTGGACCAACCAGCTTCAAAGATGGCTGATCAGGATTCAGTCAGACAATGCCACAGATGTTGCTTGCATCAGTCATCAAGGCAGCACCAGAAGCTGCACAGCCCTTCAAGAAGTGGACCTAATGCTGGCTTGGGCTGAAAGGTGCTTCCAGCCTTGTCTGCAGTCCAAATTCTTGTAGACAATTGGCAAGTGGGATGCCTCAGTCAACAGCACCTGGATGAAGGGGAATGGTTTCTTCACCCTGAATTGTTCCAGGATATCTGTCACCAGGAGATGCCAGGCAAGGATCTCCTGGCAGGATCATGGCCAATGATCAGAAGCTGGCAAGAGAGGCTCCTGATCATGTAATCACTGTGGTCATGTGATTGGATGATCCTTCCTGTCTCCCCAGGCGTACAGACCCTATTAAAGGGCAGAAAGATGTTAAGTTTTGAGTTGCTTTCAATCACGTCTGAGGTGTTTCTAAGATACTTAAAACATATTGCCTAGCATGAGCAAGGAGAACAATTCAGAAGCAGATAAACACTGTATACACAAATTCAAGTGCTGCTTGTACATTCCAAAAGAGCCAAAAAACTATACAGTATTGCCAATGTTGATGCATTCATCGCTTTAGGTTTGTAAAAGCAGACATAGCTACAACTTATGGCTGTAAACAAATTTTTAATGGAATTTCGTTTTGGGGTAAAAAGCTTTGCCCAAATTTGTTTTTAGTGTAAAAATAAGAATTATACAGCTCTATATACAAAAACAAGACAAAAGTAAATAAGTCCATGGCTAAGGGAAATCTGACATTCACAATGGCAAATCTATTCTGCTTGCTGGCCTTTGGACCCTCCTGCACTTTTGCCTCCCCTGCTAGGCCTTCCCCTATTTTGTGTTGCCCTAGAACTCTTGGAGGCACGCAGTAACTGAGCAAAGACCTGGAGTTGACTGGGTTCCTGTGAGCTCTCCCCTCCAAACATAGCAACCAGATGACGGACAGCGCAGGTCAGCCCAGCTGCTTCCTCTTCCATACGGGAATGGTGACGGATTGCCTCCTGCTCTACACGAAGGTGATGGCGGCGGTTTTTCCCGCTCAGTGGCGAGATGGTGGCGCCTCTGCTCCCTGTACAAGAGGTTGAGGGTGCGCCGTGCCCGACGGTGTTCCTGAATGAGCTGAGGTTGAGTCTCTATGCAGCAGTGGTGGAGATCCCCTTCCAGCTGTTGAGGCAGGTTGAGAGTGGGAGATATGACATCCTCCCTGTCATAGTTGGGAGAAAACACTGGGATTGGTTGTGAGGCCAGCTCTGGGATTGGTGGGGTCACATCCTGAGGCTCTAAACTTGATGGAGCCTGGCTCAGGTCCATCAAACCCTCCCCCGATGGACTAGAGCATGAAGCCTCTCCAGGAGTCTGAGCCGGACCCAAATCCAGACCTGTCTCTTCATTGCCTAAAAACAAAAAAAACAGCTGAATTTAACATGGAACAAATTTTACTAACATCCCACATATCTGTGTTCTAGATAACCTGAGATGCTTTGGATTTATCCTTTGAGATATATTTTTATACATAATCTTATTTGGGTAAAACCCTCTTGTAAATTAGGAAGAAATCAGAGTGCCCCCTTACATCCAGTGTCCTCATCAGAGTGCCCCTTACATCCAGTGCCCTCATCAGAGTGCCCCCTTACATCCAGTGTCCTCATCAGAGTGCCCCCTTACATCCAGTGTCCTCATCAGAGTGCCCCTTTACATCCAGTGTCATCAGAGTGCCCCCTTACATCCAGTGTCCCCATCAGAGTGCCGCTTTACATCCAGTGTCCCCATCAGAGTGCCACCCCACCTCAACTGTCTGCATCAGACTGGCTCATGGATTAGTGTATGCAGTCTCAGAAACCTGGGGGGCACAGCTAAAATCTGGGGGTGGCACAGCACCCCCCTAGATCCAGGCCCTGGTGTGTACAGCTCTCTGTTCAGCAGAAGCTGGTCTCAGGACTGGTTTCTGTTGAATGGGTATGCTAGAAAACCAGCATTCGATCAGCGCTTGTAGCTAATGGCTGTGAGTGCTGATCGTTGTATTCTGGTGGGGGGAACCTCCCTATCAGAATACAAACACACAGCGGGAGAGATCACTGCATCAACATCGCTTTTTTTATTGCAAGGATCTGTCAGTTAAAAACTTATAATGTTTGCCCAGCTTTAGATAGACAAATGTTCCTGGCTCTGTTTCTGCCCACCTGGGAGTTTTTAAGTGTTCCCATGCTGCTTCGTGTGTTACATATGCCTCCTTCCTCCTCTTATATCCTCCGTACAATGAACACGACATTTGTGAACCTACCAGGAGTTAGGACATCGCCAGATGGTATGGTGGATGAGAATGTGTCTGCTACTACCCTTTCTTCTGTCGAATGTTGAACTTAAGAAAAAGAAAATATTAAAACATTATATTACTTGACACGGCCTTTAAAAATGACTTGTTAAAACACGCATATAAAACAAATGCTGATCAGTAAATACAATGAAAGGGAATATTTAGTAATTTGTATATATTTGCTATATATTTCAGACTACAATATACAAATTAGACTTTCTTTTCAGTAAGAAATATATTGCACATTAATAGTTTCTATTTTCATTTACAGTGCCTTAGGCTCCTCATCTATCCCCCTATGAAAATAATTATTTTAATTACAGAGGTCAATAGCTAAAGCTGGTATTTATAAATACAAGCAAATGAGTAAGAGCAGTGACTCCAACCACCTTTCTTCCTTCAGATGGCTCCATATGAAGTTTCAATTAGAGATTTTCTAAAAGAAAACAACTGCTCTCCATGAAAGCCTATAAACCAGTGGTTCTCAACCTTCCTAATGCCGTGACCCTTTAATACAGTTCCTCATGTTGTGGTGACCCCCAACCATAAAATTATTTACCCAGTAATTATAATTCATGAGTGTCGTTTTACCTCCAATACTGCTGCTTTCAACACAGTAGCTGCTTTTAACAGAGTAGCTGCTTTCAACACAGCAGCTGCTTTCTACACAGTAGCTGCTCTTTACACATCGGAAATATGTGTTTTCTGATGGTCTTAGGGGACCCAAAGGGGTCGCGACCCACAGGTTGAGAACCACTGCTATAAACCCTGTAAATCTTGTACCTTGCATTCAATTATCAATTTCTACAACTGATATTATATAATAAATAAATCAATATACAGTGAGGAACAACAGTGAGGAACAGAAGTATTTGAACACCCTGCGATTTTGCAAGTTCTCCCACTTAGAAATCATGAAGGGGTCTGAAATTCACAATGTAGGTTTATTCCCACTCTGAGAGACAGAATTTAGAAAAATTCAGGAAATCACATTGTATGATTTTTAAAAGAATTTATTTGTCTTGCACTGCTGAACATAAGTATTTGAACACCTAAAAACAGCAATAATTCTGGCTCTCAAAGACCTGTTACTCTGCCTTTAAAAAATCCACCTCTACTCCACTCATTAATCTAACTTAGTAGCACCTGTCTAAGCTCTTTAAAGACACCTGTCCACCCCGCAGTCAGTCAGTCAGATGCCAACTACTACCATGGGCAAGACCAAAGAGCTGTCAAAAGACACCAGAGAAAAATTGTGGACCTCCACAACGCTGGAAAGGGCTACGGGGCAATTGCCAAGCAGCGTGGTGAAAATAGATCAACTGTTGGAGCAATTGTTAGAAAATGGAAGAGGCTAAAGACGACTGTCAGTCTCCCTCGGACTGGGGCTCCATACAAGATCTCACTTCGTGGGGTATCACTGATGATAAGAAAGGTGAGGAATCAGCCCAGAACTACAAGGGAGTAGCTGGTCAATGACATGAAGAGAGCTGGGACCACAGTTTCAAAGGTCACTGTCGGTAGAACACCGTACGCCGTCATGGTTTCAAATCATGCATTGCACGAAGGTTCCCCTGCTCAAGTCATCACATGTCCAGGCCCGTCTGAAGTTTGCCAATGACCATCTGGATGATCCAAAGGAGGCATGGGAGAAAGTCATGTGGTCAGATGAGACCAAAGTAGAACTTTTTGGTCTAAACTTCACTCGTCGTGTGTGGAGGAAAGAGTTGCATCCCAAGAACACCATCCCTACTGTGAAGCATGGGGGTGGTAACATCATGCTTTGGGGGTGCTTTTCTGCAAAGGGGACAGGACAACTGCACTGTATTAAGGAGAGGATGAATGGGGCCATTTATTGTGAGATTTTGAGCAACAACCTCCTTCCCTCAGTCAGAGCACTGAAGATGGGTCATGGCTGGGTCTTCCAACATAACAACAACCCGAAGCACACAGCCAGGATAACCAAGGAGTGGCTCCGTAAGAAGCATATCAAGGTTCTGGAGTGGCCTAGCCAGTCTCCAGACCTAAATCCAATAGAACATCTTTGGAGGGAGCTGAAACTCCGTGTTGCTCAGCGACAGCCCCCAAAACCTGACAGATCTAGAGGAGATCTGTGTGGAGGAGTGGGCCAAAATCCCTGTTGCAGTGTGTGCAAACCAAGAACTAAGAAACGTCTGACCTCTGTAATTGCAAAACAAAGGCTTCTGTACCAAATATTAACACTGATTTTCTCAGGTGTTCAAATACTTATGTTCAGCAGTGCAAGACAAATAAATTCTTTAAAAATCATACAATGTGATTTCCTGAATTTTTGTTTTTAATTCTGTCTCTCAGAGTGGGAATGCACCTACAATGTGAATTTCAGACCCCTCCATGATTTCTAAGTGGGAGAACTTGCAAAATCGCAGGGTGTTCAAATACTTCTGTTCTTCACTGTATAATCAATGCTTATACTGCAGCAACATGTTTTTCATTAATACGTGAAATGTATCTATGTGTCAATATTTAGGACAACAAACTCATACTAGGGATGAGCTCAAGGTTCAGTCTGAACAATTGCTGTTCGGGCGTTCATCTAAACACTGACTTTTCTACCTCTAATTTCAGCACCCATTGTGCTCTGCTGAGCCTGGTGTGTCCCTGCACCTTTAAGGAGTAATGTGCCCCCTGCAGGCATATCTGCTCCTATTTTATAAATGCTGTAACCCTACCCAAAGGGTCTGGCAAGGAATTTATACAGGACCCCACACTTTTTTTTTTGCATGGGATTCCCCCTGACATTCATACCCTCATCAAGAAAAAGGGACTTCTATGTATTTTTAGGGGAAATCGAATCCAATTTTTTATGTGTATGGTTCCTACTAACATCTATACTAGGGCCTCTGGATCCAGCACATCCCACAGATGCTCAATTGGATTAAGAGCTGGAGAATTTGGAGGCCACGTTAACAACTCAAATTTGTTGCTGTGTTCCTCAAACCATTCTTGAACCATTTTTGCAGTGTGACAGGGCACATTATTCTTGGAAAAGAAGCCACTGTCATCAGAGAATACCATTTCCATAAACGGGTGTACATGGACAGCAACAATGTTTAGGTAGATGGTACATGTAAAGTAACATCCACATGAATGGCAAGACCCAAGACTACCCAACAGAACATTGCCCAAAGCATCACACTGCCTCCAGCTTGCCTTCTCCCCATACTGCATCACGTGCCCATTGTAGGTGTTTTGGGCTGTGGACATGGGTCAGCATGGGCACCTTGAGTGGTTTGCAGCTAAGCCACCCCATACACAACAAACTGAGATACCCATTTTTCCTACTTTCAATAACTTCAGGGACAACATGTTCACTTGCTCCTTAATATATCCTAACAACTTTCAGCTGCCATTGTAATAAGATAATCAATGTTATTCACTTAACCTGTCAGTGATCATAAGGTTATGGCTGATTTGTGTATGTATCAGCTGTAAAGACTCTTTGAAGATAAGATGCTGAGTTGGTGTTTATATATATGGACGCACATATATACAAAGAGATGGGATACAGAAGGGAGAGAGAGACAAAACAGAGAAGGGAGAGAGAGATGAGATAGAAAAGGAAGAGAAAAAAGATGAGTTAGAGAAGGGAAAAGACATTAGATAAAGAAGGAGAGAGATGGGATAGAGAATAGGAAGAGAGAGAGATGAAATAAAAAAGGCAGAGATAGAGAGAGAAGATAGAAAAGGGAGAAAGATAAGATAGAGAAGGGAGAGACATGGGATAGAGAACAGACAAAGATGTGAAGAAAAGCAAAAGAAGGGCGCCCTCTCTTCGTGCATTTATTAAAATGCGTAAAAGTGCATACTCACAAACCAAAGGAGATATAAAAACAGAAACAAAGAGCCAGTGGTAAGGGTCCCAGATACCGGGAGACTCTTGATGTGGTTAACTGACGCGTTTCGGGAGACACACTCTCTGGAAGAAGTGTGTCTCCTGAAACGAGTCCGCTAGTATGCACTTTTAATAAATTCGTTTTTTACCATGGTAATGCACGAAGGGAGTGCACTTTTCTTTTGCTTTTCTTCACCTGTACCAAAGTTTCACGATCTTTCAAGGGCTGCACCTTAAAGAATGACAGATACAGTACCCCCAGTCAGCATGAAGATTTGAGCGCTGGTTTAGATTTTATTGACAGGGACAAAGATGTGGTAGAGAAAGGAGAGAGATGGGATACAGAATAAAGAGAGATGGGGTAGAAAAGGGAGAGAGATGGGATAAAGATTGGAGAGAGAGATGGGGTAGGGAAGGGAAGGGAGAGAGATGGGACAGAGAAGGGACAAAGATGAGGCACAGAATGGAGAGAGATGGGATAGAGAAGGGAGAGAGATGAGGCACAGAATGAAGAGAGATGGGATAGAGAAGGGAGAGAGATGAGGCACAGAATGGAGAGAGATGGGGCAGAGAGAGAGAGGAAGATGTGATAGAGGAGGGAGATAGATGGGATTTAGAAGGGAAAAGATGGGGTAGAAAAGAGAGGAGGAAGACAAATACAGTACCCCAGTCAGCATGAAGATTGGAGCGCTGGTTTCGTTTTTCTTGACAGGGACAAAGATGTGGTAGAGAAGGGAGAGAGATGGGATAGAAAAGGGAGAGAGATGGGATAGAGAAAGGGAGAGAGATGGGATAAAGAATGGAGAGAGATGGAGTAGGGAAGGGAGAGAGAGATGGGATAGAGAAGGGACAAAGATGTGTGGTAGAGAAGGGAGAGAGATGGGATAAAGAATGGAGAGAGATGGGATAGAGAAGGGAGAGAGATGGGATAAAGAATGGAGAGAGATGGGGGGTAGGGAAGAGAAGGGAGAGAGATGGGACAGAGAAGGGACAAAAATGTGGTAGCGAAGGGAGAGAGATAGGATAGAGAAGGGACAAAGATGAGGCACAGAATGGAGAGAGATGGGATAGAGAAGGGAGAGAGATGAGGCACAGTATGGAGAGAGATGGGGCAGAGAAGAGAGGGAGATGTGATAGAGGAGGGAGGGAGATGGGATATAGAAGGGAAAAGATGGGGTAGAAAAGAGAGGGAGATGGGTTGGAGGAGGAAGAGAGATGAGAGAGAAGGAAGAGAGAGGAGACAGATGCAATAGAGAAGGAAGGAAGATTGGATATAGAAGGGAGAGAGATGGGGTAGAGAAGAGAGAGAGAGATGGGATATACTGTAGAAGGGAGAGAGATGGCTTGCAGAAGGGAGAGAGGTGATGCAGAGACGGGAGGGGCATTGGTTGCAGAAGGGAGATGACTGGGGTAGAGGATGGAGGGAGATGTGTTGAAGAAGGGAGGGATGAAAGAGAGAGATGGAATGAGGGACGAGATACATAGATGATATACAGAGAAAAAGAGGAGAGAGCGTTGAGAGAAGGGAGAGAAAAAGTTGAGGGAAGAGGTACAGGAGATAGAAGGGAGATGTTGAAATAGATCGATGAGATAGGGAGAGATAGATGTGAGAGAGAGAGAGAAGCATTAGAGAAAGAAAAAACAGATTTATAAAATGTTTGACCCACAGGAGCCATATTTGTTTGGGAAAATGATGTGAGGATGCATTGGTCTCCTGAGAGGACACAGAAACCCTGGGGGTGTTGGAGCTGATTACAAAAAAAAAAGTGGAAAAAATATATTAGACACAGCAAAGATAGTATTGTGGACAAAAGTATTCCTTAAGGCTTTGAAAATACAATTACCTGGACGATCTGTGTCTAAATCGCCCCCTAGCCCGGTAATAAGCTCCTCCCCTATGACACTCATCATCTCCTTCTCGTATGGGAGGAGGACCAGAGGTCTAGGAGGGTCTCCTCCTGCTCTCTCAACAGCATCCCGATGTTGTATATATTTGAATCGGATTTGCCTGTCATAAAAAAAAAGGCATTTAAACGTACTATTTCAATTAGTCGAGATGGCATGAGGAACATGTCACAAAAACAGATATTGATATACAGTATACTGTATGTATATAAAAAATTGCACTATGGAACACTTACATATAGACAGAGTACATTAAAAGCAACCAATTACAGCCCCCCCCCCTTCTCCCTTGTTGTTCTCTACAAAAAGTGACATTAAAAACTTAAAAATATTGCAGGTAAAAGTACAAAACTACAGAAAAATTAAAATTTTTTTTGCAGTGTTTTTCCTTTCCATAAATTATTTTTATTAACTGGCAGTATCAATATTATAAAAGTTGCTGAAAAATGTAACTACTTCAGGAGGAGTCAATTCTCTAGGAAAGCCTAGTGCTAGCCTAGGAGTGAAGATGAATACTATAAAGTGTTATATGAGTGACAGCTCGGAGTATGGGGGGGCTGCTTACATCAAATCCAAGATGTCTAAGACGACTTGGTATGTTGGAGCAGTAACAGTACTCATCATCAAAAACATAATACTAGGGGGGGGGGGGGGGGAGCGGGGGGTGTCCCCCTACTTTCAGCCAAATGATAGGTGTGATTGCCAGGTTTTCACAAACATTTATCCATACTTTTCACTGGAAACAGAAGAACTCACTAATTTGGAGGAGTGTACACCTACTTTCGGCGATTTGATAGGTGTGATGGCCAGGTGTCCACAAACCTTTGTCCATACCCTTTACTGGAAAGACAAGAACTCAATAATTTGGAGGGGTGTCCACCTACTTTCAATGATTTGATAGGAGTGATGGCCAGGTGTTCACAAACCTTTGTCCATACTCTTCACTGGAAACACAAGAACTTAATAATTTGGAATTTTCGGAGGGGTGTACATCTACTTTCGGCGATTTGATAGGTGTGATGGCCAGGTGTCCACAAACTTTTGTCCATACTCTTCACTGGAAACACAAGAACTCAGAAATTTGGAGGAGTATCCACCTACTTTCGGCGATTTTATAGGTGTGATGGTCAGGTGTACACAAATGTTTTGTCCATACCCTTCATTGGAAACACAAGAACTCAATAATTTGGAGAGGTGTCCACCTACTTTCGGCGATTTGAAAGGTGTGATGGATGGCCTGGTGTCCACAAACTTTTGTCTGTACTCTTCACTGAAAACATAAGAACTCAATACTTTGGAGGGGGTGTACACCTACTTTTGGCAATTTGATAGGTGTGACGGCCAGGTGTCCACAAACTTTTGTCCATGCTCTTCACTGGAAACACAAGAACTCAATAATTTGGAGGGGTGTCCATCTACTTCAATACTCGGCCATATGGTAGGTGTGATGCCAGGTGTCTACAAACTTTTGGCCATATGCTGTACCTCTGTATTGTTAAACTAATATATTAAGTGTACCTCTGTATTGTGAGCAGTGAGGGAGAGGATAAGGTAGAGAGCAGGTTGTAAAAGGTTTAAAAGTCTGCATATTCATGAAATGCCGCAGAGCCTTGAGGGATGCCCCAGGTGGAGGGGATAAAATATACAAATGATTATGAACAGGATGCTGTAAGAAGCTGGATGCTAGCACAAAACTGGATTAGTAAATAAGATTGTGCTTAGATTGCAAGAAACATCATGCTTGGATAGCACGATACCAAAACGTTGCCTGTGACAGACCCAACTGGAACAGGGGCTTTTGGAGGGGACTGCAGGCTAGCCTCTTGCCTACTGACCATGGCATCTGAGGGGGCTCTATTCTTTGGGAGGTGTGTACCTGGGGGGACCTTTGGAGTAGTTTTACTTCAGAATCAAGTCCATGTCTCCCCAAAACACACAGATTCTTGAGAACTGGAGAACCAGGTTACAGATTTGTGCATAAACCAGCGTTGACTGCTTCAACCCCCCTCCTAGACTCAAAGCAGAGGTTAATATAATCAGCTTAAAGCAACCTGATACTATAATCTGTTTATTAAGGTGGTATGTGTTTACTGTGTCTTTGTCCCATTGTCAATTAAGTCACCTATTGTTTCTGTCTGTTGGCTAGTCCTCCTGGAGGTTTCTACATGATGGGATTAGTCGTATGTCAACTTTACTTCATTACCTAACCAGTGTGGAATGTTTATCCCAATGTGTAATATTTGTTTTAAGTGTTCATGTGGGGGACTGACACTATTTCTGAAGTGTATAAAAACCTGTATTTCTGTTCGATAGACAGTTCCAGTTGAACCTAAGCTAGTGTCGTCCAGTCCTTGGCTGCAATGCCCAGCTATATTACCTTGGTCCTGTGTCCCAGCGGCGAGGAAGCAGTTCTCTGATAGAAGTACCCATGCAGGCGGACAGGCAGTCCATCACAATGCCCAAGGTTGAATACTGAGTTGCAAAAACATAACAGAATGAACCAACAATAACACACATTAAAAGTGTACGATAATTACCTTTTAATGACTGACACCCGTTTGCGACAATGCTGAGCTGTCCTGATCTGGCGTGAAATACTGTTGACAGCTGCTGCCACTTGTTCCCACATGGCCGCCTTTTCGACAAAAGTGTGGTAGGGTGCCCGTTCCCCATAGAGATCGGGCCAGAAAGGCACCACCGCATGGATCAGCGCCATATTTTTTCCACAAATGAAAACGTCAGGTTTTTCTTGCGACTACCTGCTCCTTTTCTTCTCCGCACCCAGGTGGAAGGCTGCTGGTGTGCTGCCATTTTCCACAACAAACTGCCATCACTCTGGGGAAAACAACAAAGCAAATGTTAAGTGAGTAGTATAGGCACAGAGCTAAGTGAACAGTTGAAATACAGTACATACTTGTGAGCTTCCTTTCTCAACATATTTGCAGTTCAATACAGCTTATTTTCTGACATCCTCTTGTCAGATGGACTTCCAGAGTTTGGGCTAATTTTTTTTACTGTAGTTAAAGAAAAAAGGGATTAGCCAAGGACTGCCCCCAGTCCTTAACTAGATAGTGAAGGTGCAGCAACTCGTTGATGAGGTCAAGTACCCTGTGCCCTCCATTCCTTTGAGCTAGCTCTGCAACCTTATTGACTTACAGTGCTGCCCCTTCTCATCCAGGCCTGAAGCCTGCAGTACAGGCAATGGGCAGCTAATATAAAGGATCAAATCCCTCTTGTATTGAACTGTATTGTTGCTGTATTGTCTCCCGTTATATTGTAAAAGTGCTGAGCAAACTGTTGGCGCTATATAAATCCTGTATAATAATAATGGCTATGGTAACAATTACAAATACCTTTAGGGATCTTTTTAAATGAATACAGTACAAAACTGGATTAGATGGGGGCATTTTATCTGAATTCACATCTACTTTGAAGTAAAACCATGTTTTACCTCTGTAGTGCAAATCAGCATCTTCTCTTTGCTTTACATCACTCTGTTCAGCCATCAGGAGAGAAGAAAGTGTCCCCAGGGATGGAGGAGCATGTGACTCATTCCCCTTCCTCTAATCTGGCATTGGTAGATTATGAGGGTGTGTGCACAGCCACCCGATCGCCTCCATATGACAGCCGACTTGCCAGATTTACACACACACTACTGGCAGCTGCTGCCGGGAGCATATGTAACCCCCCACCCAATGGCATGGCATACAGCAGTGGTGGTAAGAGGGTTAAAAACCTGAGTTCCATCATAAAGAAATCACAGCTGGCAATTGTGAAAGATAAAACCATACCTTCTCGGCCTTTGTTTGTAAACCACTATAAATAGGACCCTCCATTCCACTTACTTGATATTGGTATGGGAACCTGTGATCTTGCTGTGTAGGATCCCAGGAATACATAGGAAGGGGACATCTCCCTGGGGTACTTCTGTTACAGGATCCATCTGTAGGAAACACACAATAAAGTCTAATGATAAATAAGATTCACAATTTCTTAACATATATCTAAAGCCAGAACAGAGAGCAATGAAAACCTCCAGAATTAGGACAGTGAATCGTAGATCTTGAAGCTTTGTGGAGATCCCGAATAAAATTATTGCTATAGTGTTGCAACTCGCAATGGCCTGGAGAAGCCCCAACGGAGTCCTTGGAGATTCAGTTTGGTCTGAGTTAAAAAATGAGAGTGTTATAAGCCTTCCTTAATTTAATATCTGCTTATTTAACAATGTTAATATAATTATACAGGAATTACTTCAGTTTTTGCAGCAAGCAATGAAAATTCCAGAAAGAGGGGCAGGACCTCTGTGTCCCGTGTTGTACTCCAAGAAATGGATTTTACAGGTAAATATGTAAAAAAAATCCAATTTTCTTTATTGTACATCACGGGACACAGAGCAGGCTATTCATGACTATGTGGGATGTTCCAAAGCAATACGAAATTTGAGGGGAGTGTGACACCATGATAGCCACCATCAATAATCCCTCAGGACCTACTCAGCCACTATCAATTAACCAAATCACCATTTCCCCCCCCCCAACCTCTTCCAACCTACAACACCCTCCCCTCACACCCCTTCACCCCCACTTAAAACATTCATTTCATCTACCATATTCTCCATCACCCACTTCCCTTTACCCCCCCATCTCAACTATCCTCCATTTACATATACTTTTCAATTCAATCTTCACTTTACCCCCCACCCTCTTCTAACCACCTTTATCATTCCCTAACCTTTAAATCCTCAACCCAAACTCACCAACATCATCTAATATTTTCACCTCCAATTTCCCCCATACATTTCCCAGTTAATCTTCCAAAATCTCTGAGCTTCCTTATTTATTTACAATATAATCTTTATATATAAATAATATTTATCTCCATCCCCACTCTACTACTACCCCTCCCCCCCCCCCCTACTCCTCCCTCCCCCTCTAATAACGCTAAAAAACTCCCTCTTAAAATATTCCTAATCTAAATCTGTTCGGTATTGTCGTATGAGATTAGATACATGCAGTCGCATCGCTTCCAATTTTTTTATATTGAGATTCATTAGAGCTATTACCCTCGATAATTTATACAGCTTCCTTGAGGCTTAGCACTTCACCTCGCTCATCTATTTTATTTTTACTCGACAAGCTACTTTGATATCTTCATTGCGCACGCACCTTCTATTCGCAGTACTTAATTTGTACAACTTTCTTATGCCAAACGGGTTTCTACCTGCTTCGAGATCCTTTAAATTCTCGTGCAGACACCACTATACCTTTATGTTAAATGCCTTTTTCATCTACTCGTCACTTTCAGCCCTCACTCATCTATTATTCCTCATTACCTCCCCATTAAGCTCCCATATCTAATCCTTTGACTCATTGCATCTCATCTTTCATACTCTTATACACCTACTCTGCCTTCATCTCCTGTGTTCGTTTGTTCCTCATATCTATACCTTTCCTCACATCCTTCTCATTCTCTTCCATATCCTCGATGTCAATGATCCAAATCTCATCACTTAGAGACTCCTTCATCTCTCCTTATAGCCTTCGGTCTAAATCTTGAAGATTTTGTTTCCTTCCTTCCTCCATTCTCTCTTAAACGCTTTCATCTCCTCCTTATCCCAACATTTTCCTTATCTCCTCTGTCATTTCCTTCTCCTTAAGTTGTCCTCCTAATCTTCATCTGAGGCTCATCTATTATCTCCTCCTTCCTTCATCTCCTCCGATCCTCTTCATCATCCTCAGACTCTTCATATCATCCAGTCCAAATCTCTATAAAATCCTTCCATCTGCTACTCTCATCATTTCCTTCTCCTTGCATTTCTGTCCTCTCAATCTCCTCTCTCTTCATCTCCTCTTATTCCAACCCTGTCACACTCTATAATTATCTCTCACTCAGACAGGTTCATATCCTCATGCGCAAAAATGCTATGCAAAAAAAATAACAACTAAAAAAAACATACATACACTAATACGTTAGATGGGATCTTCAGTACCGGTATCTGTTAATCATCCTCATCCTTACTAATCCACAGAGTGCTGTGTGTGATTCCTTCCCCCAATATTATGATCATCTCATCATAGTGTAATTATGAGTGTTCCAAAAAGAGGCATGCCTCCGCATCATGTACTCGTTCGCCCAGATTTTAGTTTATCACAAGTCAAAAAATTATTATAAAAATTTCAATCTAAACTCACTGTTAACCCCTATATAAGTGTCTCACCAACTTTCTCCAATTCACAATCTCCTTACTAATCTCCCAGCCTCAATTTAATTCCAAAAACTTTTCAACAATGAGCCCCTTCAACCACACACCACTCCTCCCCCTCTTCTCTCCATCCCTCCCTTCCGCCCTCCCACTTTTATCAACTTAATGATATGCTTCCACTTGACTATATCTTGTAACGATTATCACCCTCTAACTTCCTTTAATAATTAGCGTTCACTAAGCTCATCTCATGTACCTTTGCCTTTTATCCGCGTCCACACCATCCTTGAATTCCCCATCTTCACTCTTTTCCTGATATTTAAACACAACTCTCAATTCAAGAATATTATCTCACCACAACTGATATCTCCCTTTGTAGTACCCAAATAATTCCAGTCTGCGTGTGTAGAGTGGGTTGATGGTTATACTTCTTATAATCATCTCTACTTCCCTATCCTGGCTTCTCAGGTCCCACTTTACATAGCATTATCTCTTCCCCCCTATCGCTCTACCTACTTCCTATAAAGTTGCATGTCCTATCAAGTCCTCTGGCCATCCACAGTTTGATTTTGTATTAAATGCATACTAAAGTGCTTGAAGAGAACTTACCCCCCCATGTTGGCCTCTCTCCCTCATTACTGACCCTTCAACCCTCTTACTTCCCAACTAATTTCCCCATCCTTCTTCCCCCTCCACACATGGCCCCTCCTTATTCCCTAACTAATCTATTAATTACCCAAAATACCACCATCCATCAAATCAACCTAACCTTCATCCTAAAAAATCAATTCACCCTCCCCCCCCCTCCCTTCTTATAATGATAATTCATCAGTTTATTGAATTTCCGTCCCATCTCATCCTCTCTCAGTCTTTTTGAATAGATTAGATGATGGTTCGCTTGGAGTGATAGATGTGCGTTAACCTGATAGCTACACCTTGACTCTACTCGTGTTTCCCGTACTTAGTTAGTTGTAAGGAACTCACCAGTGTGTGTTTGGACCGAGTCTGACTAGTGCATATCTTCTAATCGCCTATGCATGTTGGCTTCGTTTAGAGGTGTCACTGTGTGCATCTGTCTCTTAGCGTCTGCTAAGATTGTCTACTGTATTGCGCAGATGTCGCAAAGATTAATGCAACATATTAACACAGGGTTTTTTCGTATATCCTTGGTCTGTGAGAGGGACTGTCGTGTCTTCGGATTCTCAACTTTATCTGTCGTAACTTCTCGAGCAGAATTGGTCTGCTAGCGCGCTTGCGGCGCTCAGAGGGGGATGGGGTATTGGTGGTAGATTGGATTTCTCGGACGAGCGCGATCAAAGACACTTTGGTTTGCGTATGCCTCGGTTAGTCTTCTCAGGTGTTTTGGCGTAATGAGTAATTAATAGGTGAGGTGGTGCGAACTGGCGGGGTATAGAAACCTTCTACTTCGGAGATTATGGAGAGCGTAGGATACGTCTCATTTTTGAGGACATATCTCCAAGGTTGCGACGTATGCTGTTGTCAAGGGCCTCACATGATTGCATTAGTAAATCGAATTATGTATCTAGCTATTGTGTCAGATTGGACATGTTCTACCCATATTTTATGTGCCGTATGATCTTGATGTTGTTTCTTATCATGCAAAGATTGCATCATGTGAATGACATGGTTATACTCAATAGTGAGGTGTTTAATTACCTGGTCGTGGAGTATCACACATTATCGAAGAAATCACAGCTTAAAGGGAACAAGAGTGAGAGGGGGGAGAAGTGGGGGGGGGATTTTGGGGGGAGGGGGTGGGGTGCAGAGGGGGGGAGGGGGAGGGGGGGGGGGGAAGGGCGGGGTGGGATGCATGGGGTAGGGGTTGGGTTATGGGGTCGGGGGTGTAGGGGGGTGGGCGGGGACATGGTGAGAGGGGTGTGGTGGGATGCGTAGGAGTGGGGGGGGTGGGGTAGGGTGGGGATGGGGGGGGGGGGGGGGGTGTTGGGGGGTGGTGTGGTGGGGTTCGAGTAGGTTCGGGGGTGGTTTGCATTTTTAGGCGGGTGGAAGAGGTATTCAATCTGGGGTGGAGGGGGGGGGGTTTTTTTTGACTCGTGTTCTGGGGTGTTTAGGGGGCTTTTTTGGGAAAGGGGGTGGGTGCATTCCTTGAGAGCCAGAATGATTGCCAACAACTCCCTATCTCCAATCTGGTAGTTGCACTCTGCAGAGGAAAGCTCCTGGAGTAGAGTAACCCACAGGGAAGTAGGGGTCCATCAGGTGGGACCCGACGTTGAGACAGGAGACGCGCTACTACTGTCTCGGATGCATCGACCTCAAGGACGAAGGGCAATCCAGGAATGGGATGAGACAGTATCGGAGCCGAAGCGAAGGCGGATTTCAGAGCCTCGAAAGCTACGATGGCCTCGGGGATGACCACTTGTGAGGATTACTGCCCTCTTGGTTAGGTCTGAGAGAGGCTTTGCCAGCGTGGAGAAGTTCCTGATGAACTTCCGTATAGTTAGTTAGCAAAACCCAAAAAGCGCTGAATGGGTGAAGACCATTGGGACGTGAGGCCACTGCAGAACCGCCGAAACCTTCTGAGGGTCCATGGAGAATCCCTCCGCAGAAATGATGTAGCCTAAAAAGGCAACTTGGGATCGATGGAAACTCGCACTTCTCGAGCTTACAAAAGAGTTCGTTCTCCTGTAATCGTTGCAGCACCCGCTTGACATCCTGGATATGGGACTCCATGGAGGTAGAGTAAACCAGGATGTCATCCAGGT